ATATGATTTTATGTTATGACTTCATTTTCCTTTCAAATACTTAAAAAGTTTTAGATTATTTTCAGGCTCTGTTTTTCCAAACTAAATACCACATAGTCCAAACTCCATGAGACTTTCACATTGACTCCCTTGTTGGTGTGGAGTCACACTGGTGACTTGGGGAGATGCAGTCTCCTCCTCGGGGCTCCTCCTAGCAACACCCATTATTGTGGAGGTTTCACACATGTTCACCCGGTTTCCCTGTCCCACCTCCCTGCCCAGTTGGTCTGGTGTGAATGCTCTGGAAGGGCTTCAGAGCGGCTTCCACAGCTGGAGCAGGAGTCCCCAGGGACCACTTCTGCCTCAGGAGGCCTACAGCTGCTCTTACCTTTTAAAATGTAGTCCGTTAGCAAAGTAGGCACCTTCTCATTATCCTCCTTCATGGCAAAGAGAACTAGGGAAGGAGAGGGAGAGAGATGAGCCAAGACCCCATCATGCAGGAAGCTCACTTCTAGGGCCAAAAAACCCCCAAGCACAAAGGGAGTGAGAAACCATTCAGGGAACCAGGCATTCTCTGAGTACAAAGCAGAAGTCCAGAAGCCTCTGTCAGGAGCCAGTGCACCTCATGGTGAGGGAGGCAAATCCAGGTAGAGAGCACAGTGGTGTCTCCTGGGAGTGCACCTATTTGTGATTTTTTTCTTTCCCATTTTTTGGCCCAGCTATAATTTCAATACCACTTACTAAATATATATCTTTAATGACTGTAAAAATAAAGCAATTATTTAAAAAGAATTGGCTTCCAGATAGCATCTACCTGCTAACAGTTGTCACTGAAATCACCAATAAAACTGTCTTGAAAAACATTCTATTCACATAAACACATTAGAATTCTCACTTCCACTTTATTGACAATGAATGAAGTTAATTCAACAATATTTATTTTCTGTATTTTGCTCAATATAATGCTAAAATGTGTGGAGATGCAGAAGAATTATGGATTCTCTGGGAGTTTGAAGACTTCTTATGAAACCCTGCTTGACCTACACATGAAGCAAACAATACAGAAGCATTTAAAGTCTAAAGGCTTTTTAGAAGCTTTTTCTAAAGTTTTAAAGATAAATTTTTCTAGGGCTATGGATATAGCCGAGTGGTAGAGTACTTGCCTAGCACATGGATTAAATCCCTAACTCAGAAGGAAAAAAAAAAAAAAAAGCTTGAAGCCGACTTTGTAGAAAATCCTCAATTGATTCTTTCATCAATTAACTTCTATAAATAGACTACAAAGTATCTATTCAATGTAGTTTTACATAGCCTTATAAAAATGAGAGTGATGTATGCATATAAGGCACACTTCTTAGTAAAGAAAGAAGTTTCAGAAAACATTAACTTTAAAAGAAATAAAGGCTAATGTTCATTTAAAAAAATCTAGAAGAACAGTATATAAAATTATTAAATAGCTGTCTGAGTGTGAGGCCACAGGGGATGTTCTTTCTACAACATGTTTCTACACTGCCTGGCTTTTCTCACTGAGCATGTTTAGTTTACAACCAGAGAAAACAATAAAGATCAGCAGGCACAGATAGCTAGGGTCAGGAGGCGAGGGCAATGGTGGAATTCCCAATCCATTTGCACATCCTTAGTCTCCGTTGATTCCCTTGCCTCATTCCAAAGCACGGTAATGAAACTTGAATCCAAAAAAATCAGAAGTGGTGAGGAATAGCACCCAATGTTGATGTGAGTCAATGCAGGTCCAGGAAAAGAAAAACAAGCTGAGGTCCTTTGGTTGTTGGACTTTCCTGTTTTTATCTCTTCTGTATTTTTAAATATGTGTCCATTTCAACTTAATTGGATACTGAGGGTCCTGACCCTGTTTTCTTTCTTTTTTCCTATATTTTTAAACATGTATTTATTTCCTTTTAATTGGCTTGGGAACACTTGGCAACCAAACTCAAGCCAACAAAATGCCACACCAAGAATATGGAAGTAGCGGGCTGGGGCTGGGGCTCAGTGGTAGAGTGCTTGCTTAGCATGTGTGACACACTGGGTTCGATTCTCAACACCACATATGAATAAAATAAAGAAGATGGCAGTAAAGTATCATTGCACTCAGCCAGTAGGTGTCTAAGTTGATCTCCAAACTTCAAAATTTATAAAGAAGTCCAGTCATAGAAGCTGATCTTTGGCCTTTGGCCTCCATTCAAGGAGTAGGAATGAGAGGGGAGGCACTGCTCATGAGACCACACAAGGATTGTCCAAAAATGACTGCTTTCATAGTCTATAGGAAAATGGGTATTCAGAGAAGATGGCAATCTTTCTTTTAGAAGAAATAAAACATCATAATGTAGTACCTTCCCATAATAGAAAAAAGAGAAATAAAAAGAAATGTTAACAAAATGCTAACTGGTGTCACTAAAATCATAATACAACACTTTATAGCCAGTTTAGTCCAACTATAGAGAAAAGATAAAAAGTACTGTGACTAAAACCTCAAATAGTGATGATGAAGGGGACAATGAATTATTTATTTTTCTTTGTTCACGAAATCTAATGTATTACAAAGTATTCTAATGATAAGTGAGCTCTAGCTATAATTTTGTAAATAAACTTAAGAACTAAACACATCCACTCAGAATAGAAACAAGTCTATTTCTTAATTAAAAAGAAAAGAAAACCTCATACTAAATTCCTAGGTGGGTATTTGTAATAAATAGTTCTTCCCTTTTTAAAGACCATGCTCAAGTACTTTATATATACCAACCTGCCAAATTTGTCAAAATTATTTCCCAAATGTTCATCACTATGAAAACACAAACAATGTATTTATGCATTTTTTCTTTTCCATTTTCTTTCTTCTTCTTTTTTTTTTTTTTTTTTTTTTGGCAGTGCTGGAGATCCAACCCAGAGCCTCCTGTGTTAGGTAAGCATTCCATCACTGAGCTACATCCCTTGTCCTATAAATGCTTTTCTATCTACTCCCTTAACAACAACAACCACAACAAAGAATGTGCATATTTATGCAAATAGAGGAGTCTAAAATGAGATAGAAAGAAGTCAATGTACTATGAATTTTAAATTCCTGATTCTCAAGGACACAGTGTCTAGTTATGCCAGCAGGATTTGTATTTATCATGATCTCCTGTTTTCGTCCTCCAAATTGATCAGATGAAAACATTAGGTCACCTTTAGCACCAGGGCCCATCAGGCATCTGTCTTCCTCTGCTGAACAGCAGCTCCTCTCCCTTTCCCTGGGGTGTCCGACAGCCCTGTGCTGCCCATTCCCTCCAGGGCAGCCTGCAGTTGGCTGGGCAAGCTCTTGACCCATCACTCTGCATGCATGGTTGCCAGGGGAATGGAATTTCTCTCTGATCCACTGAGCTTGTCATCACATCTCAGCCTAGGATTTTTTTCTTCCTAACAGCCAAGCTGACACTAATGGTTGACACCATGTGTCCTCAGTCCTTTGGGGGTTGTACTGTTTGATGTACACATATAGAGAGATTTTGCCTACAAAAGGCTCTTTATTACACACTGCTTTCTCCCGTAGCTCAAAATGTTTATTAATATAAGACAATAGAGCCAAACAGAAGGAGAAGAGGCAGTCACTTCCTGGAAGGAAAATTAGATTGTTTTTTCCAATCAGCCTTGCCCTACCCAAGAAACCCTCACTTCTCATTAAAAAATACAGCCACAGGGCTAGGAATGCAGCTCAATGGTAGAGTTCTTGCCTAGCAAGCACGAGGTCGTGGGTTTCCCCAGCACCACACAAACAAAAACACAGCTAGGCCCCCTGCTTCAAGGGGCACAAGTGTGGACCAGGCAACCTGAAGTTCCAGCAGAAAACAGGGAGGGGGCAGATGGTGCAAAGCCTGGGAGGATTCCTGGGGAAACAAACAAACCAAAAAACCCTGCCCCACCCAATCCCCTACCTCTCTCACCAGCTCACTTTTTGTTTTTGTTTTGTTGTTGCTTTGCGTTGTCCCCCCAACCCCCTGCCCCCCAGCAGGTCTTCTCCCTGACAGGAACCAAGGGAAAGAAGAGACAGCTCTGATTGTCACAGGGTATTTTAATTTTACCCTGTGCTAGAGGACTGGGTAAATGATACAGAGCATATTTTGTGCCTGAGAAGATGCCCTAGGGGAATCTCTGGCCAAGGCATTGGAGGTACACAGCCTGGGAAGGGACCGAGGACAATGAGAAGCCCACACATGTGGCTGAGGGCCAGAGGCACTCACTGTTTGTCAGCATCTGCAGGTCTTCCACGGAGGGAGGAGAGGCTTTCTTCTCGTAAGGGATAACCGTATTCAGGTACTGCAAGGCAAACAGGGAAGGCAGAGCCTGAGACAGACTGGGACATCATAAGACACAGTCCCCTGGGGCATGAGGAATGTACTTTTCTCTAAGACACAGATCTATCAATGCTGACATTCTGGACAACATTTCCAGTCGCCGGCACGCTACTATTTCAGAATTCTTTCCCCCACTTTCCAGGGGGAAAACTCTTTCAAAGTAAGACTTTCCCCATATTTGCCCAGGAAAAAACTTCCATCCACTTCAACTTCTACATCCTTCCTATGCTGGAAACTTTTTTGGGAATCCTAGGGAACTGTTTTTCCTTCAGGCTGAGAGCAAGGAATATCTCCAGGGAAGGTGATCTTTTTATTCTTTGCAGTGCAATGTGAGAAGGAATTATTTCTCTTTTGTCAAAAACGACAGGCAAGAGGATGTCAACCCTGCCCAGGGTGCTGGTTGTCAGATTTGCTCTCTCTGCTGGAGGTGAAGTGCTCCTGCAACAACAACTAAACAGGAGAGGCTGGTGGCTACCCAAGACCACCAGGCCAGGGAGACCCTGATAGTCCTAAGGGAGCCTGAGGTGGTGAGTGCAAAACCAAGTGGCTTTGTATTCAGTCTTGGCTCTGCCACTGGCAACAAGGCCTTGGGAACATGCCTGCCTCTTTGCCCTGGGCCATACTTCTCATCTGTGAAAGAGAGGGCCGAGTTTGAAGTTCCTAAAGCCTCTTTACATGCTGCAGCTCTATAATTCTAATACATTGAATTCAGTTACAACATGTTAAAAGAATACCCTACTTTTTTTTTTCTTTCAAGAATACACTGCTTCCTCCCACCATCGAAATAAGGGGCTAATGGAGCATGGTGGTATATGCCTGTCATCTCAATGGCTCAGGAGGCTGGGGCAGAAGGATCAAAAGTTCCAGGACAACCTGAGCGACTCAGCAAGATGCTATCTCAAAACAAAAACTAGGGAAAGCACTGCTGAGTTTAATCCCCAGTACCAGAAACCAAACTAAACATAAATTTTAAAAAGGGATATACATTTCATACACCACCAAGTCTATGAGATTATGCACCCCATGAGGACAGCAACCAGGACATTTCCCCTTTGCACTAGCAACAGAGCACAGCACATAATAGGAACTCCATAGGAGTCTTTGAACTCTGCCTTAATAATCAGAAATGCTTCTTCACAGATGCTGTGTTTAGGAGTAATTTGAGGGTCCCCCAAAGGTCCATTTGTAAAGACTTGATCCCCAGGGTGGCGTTATTGGGAGGTACTATGAACCTTTAAAAGGTTTAGTGGGATTAGTGGATCCTTAGATTATTAGAGGCATGTTCTAGAAGAAGATTAAAAAAAAAAAAACAACTTAGTGTCTATCTTGTTTCACTTTCTCAATCCCTCTCTGTCTTTCTCTTCCTGACTTGAACTGAGACCACTGTACACACACTCATGCCATATGATCCTCACCAGAAGCCAAACCAATGCAGCTACCCAATCTCGGATTTGAGCCTCCAAAGCTGTGACCTAAATAAACCTTTTCTCTGTAAAAAGTTAGTTGCCTCAAGTATTTCATTCCACTAATGCAAAGCTGACTAAAACAATAAACAAGTTACTGACTAAATGGAGCCAATGAGGAGATGAGACAGCATGAGTTACATACAATCAGAGCCAGGAGACTGAAGAGGCAGACTTGGTGATGTTGGCTTGGCTAGTAATATAATATATTAGGACTGATTAAACTCTAAGATGAGACCTGTCATGAAACAGATTCCCTTTTAATACATTTTTCCTTAAAACAACTCAAATCGTAGATCTAAAGTACTGTTGGCTTTTCAGTTTTATACATGTCCAAAAAAACCTAAAAATCATCTTTTTAAAAGGCACTTCTTGTTCTTCATTAAGAGTGGAAAAAAAGTTAGGACCTCCCTTGCCCAAATGCTGGAATTATTCTAGTAAGTTAGCATCCCTCGGCTTTGATGGGGAGGTCAAGCTGCAAGAGTCTAGGAGGAGGGCAGGAGTAGGGAGACTGTTCACACCTGTTTGTCGGTTCCTGAAGAGCCAAAGGTCTGGCGGATGCTGCTCTGCAGGATGTTGGAGATGCCTTCCATGCTGAAGCGCTGAGGGAGAGAGACACTCAAGGAGGACAAAGATTTCTGGCTCTATCCTCCCTACCCCAGGGGTTTCCAAGTTCTCACTCAAACACCCAGACCCACCAGCCACCATGCTGTTCCAGTAAATGGCCCACAGTGATGGAGAGTAAAGGTAAGACCTAGGCTTACAGAAGCAGGCCAGAACGTAAGCCTGAACTTTATAAGGATAAACAGTAGTCAAAAAAAACTCTGTCTCAAAGACTCTTAGCTTAGTAAGTCCCTCAGGACAATCCCCTCTGCACTCTCCAGCTTTGCTCATTTCATTCTCTGTCCCATAAAGAGAAAAGTAAGGAAGTATGGTAAAATGGAGGGGAATAATGCCGCAAAGGTCTTGGGGGAAAACAAAATATTCAGCTACCAGAGAGGACAGCTTTAAAGCAACTGTCCTGATCTGGGAAGGTTTTCTTCCATAATATGCATGCCCCGTGCCTGATTCAGTGGGTGATAGAGCTGGGCAAAGGCATTTTGAAAAAGCTCCTCAGATGATTCTGCCTAGCTTCCACCATTAAGAACCCCTGGTTTATAGAATATTATCAAGGCCAATATGGCATCTGGTCATTGTCAACCACTGGAACACCCTGAAGAGCCTAGGCAGGACAACAGTCCACACAATGGCCGAGATCCTGGCCCAGAGTCCCAAGGCTCCAAGTACCATCAGTCCACTTTCCATGGTCTGGCCCACAGAAAACACAGGTCACTCTCAATCATCCCCCAGTTAGACCTTCAGGGAAACAGAGGGAACAAGTGACATCTCCCCCCTCTTTATGACCCCACTGTCTGTTCCAGGGCCCCCCGCTCACAACAACTGAGTTGTTGCTCAGTAAGCCCAGCAAGTGCTCAGTGAGTCCAGGGCAGGGTAGGTACAGGACCTGCAGGGGTGGGTAGGGGTGGAGGCGGCTCTGGGTCGTCCTTCCATTTGGGCTGCTCACATACCTTGAGAGGCATCTGGGTTCCCTTCTCTATTCGGCTACTCTGCAGGCTTAGTCCTTTCTCTTTCCGCCTCTTTTTCATCAGTTCCCGTTGCTCCTTCTGCTTGTTCTGAACTTCGATGAGCACCGTGATGAAGGAGTTCTTCACTTCCTTCTCAAACTCCAGCTCGTCCCTGCGGGCCAGCTGGTGCACCAGCTCCTCCGAGAAGTCACGGATGGCACCTTCCACCTGGTCCAGCAGCTCATTCAGCTCAGACCCAGACATGTGCCTCAGCCCTGTAGGGGAAGAGACCATCCCTCTAGTGACATCTGCAGCCAGGCCTGGGCCCAGTGGAAATGGGGCTGCCCTGGGGAGAAGTGGTATTTATTCCCAAGTACTGATCCAGACCAAGCTGGTAGTAAAACAAGCAGGATGTGAGGACGTCGTGCACATATTCAGAAACCCAGGAGATCTATGGAAGATGGGGGATGTGCAGGGACAAACGAAGCCCAGTGGGTACAGAGCAGTCTGCCACTTTCAGAAACAAGGAAAGGGAACCTGATATCCTGGAACATAAATAACTTTGTTTTAACTTCTTGTTCTTTAAGACTTCTTCATTTAAACTGGGCATGGTAGTGCACTCCTGTAATCCTAGCTACTCAGGAGGTTGAGGCAGAAGGACCACAAGTTCAGACTTGCCTAGGCAATTTAGTGAAACCCTGTCTCAAAATAAAAAATGGAAAAAGCTGAGGATGTAGCTCTGTAGTAGAGCACCCCTGGGCTCAATCCCCAGCACCTCAAAAAAAAAAACAAAAACCCACTTCACTTAAAATAGACTTGGGTGGTTCACAAAAACCAATCAAACATTTCAAAAGAGCTAGTTGAAAGGTTTTTAAATGTTCCCAAAATACTGCTTGGGATGTAGCTCAGTGGTACAGCACTTGTCTTAGCATGTGTAAAGCCCTGGATTTGATCCCTAGAACGGCCAAAATTGAAAAAAAAAATTCAACATAATGAAATTATTACGTCTCAGGTGGTAGATATGCCGATGACCCTGAGCTGATCGTTACACGTTGTGTACGTGTATTGAAATGCCAACCTGTACTCCATAAATATGTACAATGACTATGTGTCAATTGGAAATATTTTTAAACTAAATAAATAGAATAGATTTAGGGAACATCTTTTAAAGTCTATCCCTAATGGGATCTTTTATGTTCACCTCAGAATGCATTTTCCTTCCCTTTTCCGTCTCGGCTCTGCCTGGGTACTTGCTGAATTGGTTCGACTTTTCCCTTTATTTTGGTCTTTGGCACTGTCCTCCCTCCTTCTGTCTTTGCCATTTCACTCAACATCTCAGCTGTTTTCATGAGTCCTTTGCTGAACACTTCTATGTTTGGGGCCTTTGTGTGGCTGAGAATGACTCCACTGGGGCGGCTGTGAATGCAGCCAGGCAGCCAAATCTACTCTGTTGCCCCAAACAGGCTATGCCCCACCTCCTCTGCTCCTTAGAGCCACAGTTTTACTTGTAGGATGTGGTGCTTCAGATCATGACTTGATTTTGTCACTTGTAACCCACGTTTGGACCTTCATACCCTGAGCAAACCCTCTTCTCCTTGGTTTATAAGTCCTTTAACCCCATATGGGGACCTCCCCCTAGAAACAGATCCTCCTGCACCGTGGGCATTATTATCCCTACAGACTGATGGATTTCATGCTCAGTTTTACCTTTGCTGTACTAAATTTATTTAATTTTATTTTCACACTAATTTACCGGGGCCTTTCTTTGCATGCTCGTAATTACCATAAACCTGTTTCAGACCGTTAACGTGATACAGGGATTAAAAGACTGAACTCTGGAGTTAACCTCACTGCCTACAAGTGGTGAATGCACCCTTTAAGATTTATAGCAGGCGAGAGGGCAAATACAGTTTAAAATGAAAGGCTTGACTCTCTCCACTGAGCACAAGGGAAGAGGGCTGAGTTGCAGTGCAGTGGCAGAGTCCATGCCTAGCCAGCCCTGGGTTCAATTCCCAGCCTTGCACTAAAGAAATAAGGAAGAGGATTTTCCTTTCCCCCAGCTCCCTTTCTTTCAGTTTCATTGCCTGTCTTCTTCAAACGTATGTTAAATCTTTTAACGGCTAAATAAGCCTCCTACCATTCCCACAATCCCGAAAGAGATCCTCAGGGGCTTGGGAGCCACTGCTTTGAAATGCAATCATCAAGAAAGATAAGACTTAATCTCCCACTGTTCTGGAAGCAGAGGGGCCTAACTCACCACCTGACTCCAAATTGCAAAAACCTACTTAAAGTAATGGGTTCCATCCACTTAGCTACAGCCAAGAGTGGGATTTCCTTCTATCTTGCTATCCCTTTAGCAGGTTGCCTGTAGTGCACATCCCATTTTTGTTTAATGCTTACTCCATAATAAAACTTTCTTTCTCTGCTATGTTTGTGGAGAGTTTTTTCTGGGTGGCATGTAGATTTTGTTTTTAATTTTATTACCCCAACAGTAACCTTGGACAAATCACTGAATTTCTCAAAGACCCAGTTTAGATTAAGGTCCAGCACATAGAAAGCACTACAAAAATTATGAGCTATTATTATTCCTATTTGTTTGTTTCATTGATTTTATGGTAGCATCATCTCTTGGATTTGGATAGTGGTTTAGATTTTTCCCACTTAGACTGCTTTAGTCTTGCTCTTCGGTTAGCTTTATCATTTAAATTTTGCTGTACTGCCATTTCGTTTGCAAAATGCAAACCTCTCTCCTGATGTGGAGTAGGCAAGGTGTTGCCTACCTCCTGGATTGTACACCTTTGCTCTAGGATGGTGACCTAAGTTCTAATAACCGTGTGTGAACAGTGCCTGGCACCGCTCAGGTGATGCCTCCTTGGGAAGCCCCACCCTAGGGCCCTCACCTTCATAGGACCAGTTGTTGTTGAAGGTCTGTGTCAAGGCCTGCATCTCCTGCAGCAGAACGGAGTCGGCCTGGGATGAGGTTTCTCCTCCGTCCTCTTCTTCCAGAGCTTCCTCTTCCTCTTCAGGGTCCGGTGAGTTCTGCATCATTTCCTCAATCTCCTCAATTACCTGAGAAAGGTTCACAAGAGAATGCAAGCTCTGTTCTCTGACGAGGGAGCATTCTGGATTGGATTTTGATCAGTTAAGGATGTCTCTAATTTGCTGTCTGTAAAATTCCTGAAGCATTATCATTTCTTAATAAATATTGAATAATAATAAAAATAGACTCAACCAAAGTCTTACACACACTCTTTCTGTAATGGTAAGCACCTCTTTCATGCAAAACCTCTTCCAAAAGCTCCATTTAGATGAATGCTTTATTGGAAATAAACTACTCTTTCAGGAAATGAAGCAGAGCTGCCTGGAAAGGAATGTTTATTTCAATTTCCTGAGCATTTTATTTTGAAGTGGGAAAATATTTTATCTGTCTAACCTTAACACTAAAACTCAGTCCATTAATTGTCACATTACTTGCAAGTGAAAAAATAAACAAACAAAGCATTTCCAGAACAACTCAAAGTAGGGAGAAAAACAGCTATTTGTCTAGAATTCATCTAGACAGAACTGAAACTACCCAGTCACAGATAAGGATGAAGACAGGAATACAATCAGAGGATAGCTCAAGTCTGGAGAGCAGGAAATAGATAAGAATTTCAGCTCTAACCTTAACTATTGAGGGTGTACAACTCCTACAAGTGGAGGGTAAAATTAGATACCTGCCAAAAGGAATTAGGGTGATCTACTGTGCACAGTAATTGCACATACAGTGGGTAGCTCAGTAATGGAGGGATTGCTTAGCATGCACAAGGCCCTCGATTTGATCCTCGGCAACCATAAAATTTTAAAGAAAATATTAATCAAAGTTTACTTCCAAAAGCAAGTCTGCAGGTAAGTTTGGTAACAACGGCATATTTATTTATTTACTTTGGTACCAGGGATTAAACCTAGGGGTGCTTTACCACAGAACTACATTTCCAGCCTTTTTTATTTTTGATTTTGAGACAGGGTCTCTCAACTTGCTTAGGGTCTCGATAATTGCTGAGATTGGCTTTGAACTTGTGATCCTCTTGTCTCAACTTCCCAAGCCATTGGAATTACAGGTATGCACCACTGCACCCACCTAGCAACAGAAGTCATTTAGTCATCTGTCCCTGATGTATTCCTTTAGAATAATTCTTATTTTATTAACATACCTTTTTAACTCCACTTACAAATTTAGGTCATATTTATTCTTTGACTATTCAAATCCATTTTATACAATGTGACCCAATGACATAAATCATAAGTGTTATGGCTGAGTTTATCTAAGAGTAATTATCTTCCAATCCATATTCCTTTCTACAAGTCACAGAATAATTGTTAGCCCATTTTGTTTGTTTTAATCTGGTTTCCTTTACTTTTCTATTCTTTGTTACTTTGTATTTTTCATCTTTAAAATTTATTTTATTTTTTTAAAGGTAAAAATTGAAACTTGAAAATGTATTTAAATGTTTAAAAATATATTAAAAATAAAATGAAATAACTTAAAAACCAAATTCTACCTTTTTACCACAGATATGAAGAAACACCTCTAATAATAAAAGGAACTTTCTAGCCGGGTGTGGTAGCACACACCTGTAATCCCAGTGACTCAGAAGGCTGAGTTAGGAGGATCATGAGCTCAAAGCCAGTCTCAGCAATTTAGTGAGACCCTGTTTCACAATAAAAAAATAAAAAGGGCTGCGGGAGTTGTTCAGTGGTTAAGCACTCCTGGGTTCAATACCCAATATCAAAAATAAATAAATAAATGGAACTTTCTAGCACTGATGGCTCCCGGTGGAACATTTTTTAAGAATGACTCTAGAAACTTTCATGATGGCTAACTCAAAATAAGCACTCATGGATATTTGTTGTTAAAAAAAAAAGTTGAATAAGGAAGCCAGAAACTCAACACTGTCTTCTCAAAGTAATAAATCACTAAAACTAAAATAAAATTAACTCAACCAAATGTGAACACTATGTCTTTTTTTTTTCCCACAAAGACAGAAGTGTCTCTAAGACTCCTTTTGGAAGGCTCAAATTTTTCAGTGTTTTATGAAATGTGAGAAAATATCCATCATACAGAAGTTTCATCTGTCACTTCTCTTTCTGGAAGAACAGATATTTGAGAACCTCCTGTCAGTGCCCTGACTTCAAGTACAAGGAATTTTCAGGAAGACGCTTAGCAGCAGGTGAAACCTGTAAAAACCAGGCCTGTCTCTAGCTGTCATTAAAACCTGACCCTAAGCAACCGAAGTGCTAGGATTTATGTTCACATTTATTATAGGTTGCCGGGTTTCTGTTCTCTCGACTAAAAGGCTCAGGGGTCACTCTAGTTAAACTGGGCTAACTGGGCTGCACGAAATAACCACACAAGAGACACAAATACCTTTTTCTTTGGGGT